GACTCTATTGAAACACTGGGAGGAAGGGGGTTGAGAATTCATTTGATCTTAATTTTAAAATTTGAAAACTTGAAACTCAACGATCCTTCGAATGAATTAATAATCAAAGGAGAATCCTTTAAATTCCCAGAAAAGGGAGATGTAAAGACTCCAATCATAGTATTACCGGGAATAAAAATCATTTAACATGCACCATAATTGCACCAAATTGAAATTTGCCAAAAATATGGTTTTTTTTTTATAAGAAACCGAACTTTTCATTTGAAAACAGAAACAGATATACAAGGGCAAACAAAAACAAAAGCCTAGAAGGAGGAGCCCTACCTAAAGAAAGGCTTCCAATCCAAAAGAATAAAACCTAACTGATAATTACAAAACAACTTCGAAACAAAACCCCATAAAGAGATATTAAATCTAATGAGATCCCGAATAGACTCCCTATCTCTCTCCACCCCATAAAGATTTTGTTGTTTCTCTCCAACCAAATCCCCCACGAAATCGTAAAGAAACAGGCCTGCCACAAAAAACTCCCTGAAAGGAGGAAACAAAAGCACTTCCTCCACCTTAGCCCCCATCTCTATGACGAACTCAAGACACCTCGAAAATCTCAAAGAATTGGCCCCAAATGTTCAGGGAGAACTGGAAATGCCATAAGATGTTGGATTAAATTCCCAATGCACTCAATTAAATGCTGCCTTCAAAGAGATAACATTCGTGGACTATGATATGACCATTGGAAACCCAAGGCACAATTAGAGCCATATCATTAAAGCAAACAAGTGACCTTTCCATTTCAACTTTAATGAACATTTATTCTTGAGGAGGGAAGATGGGTAGACTTCTCATTAACATCCAAATGTACCAAGCCTTGGAAACGACTCAATAAAGTCTCACTGCCAAGGCTACATGTGGCTCAGGGGATTGAACTTCTTGGAAAAATGGGCATCCAATTAAAAGCTGCCTTCAAAGAGATAACATCCTCGAATTATGATATGACCCTTGGAACCCCCAGACACAATTAAACCATATCAATTAAGGCAAACAAGTGACCTTTTAGCTTCAACTTTAATGAAGAACATTTATTCTTGAGATGGGAAGATGGGTATACTTCTTTTTAATACCCCAATATACCAAGCCTTGAAAATGACTTCATAAAAGCCTCACCGCCAAGGCTACACGTGGCTATTAGGTAATCGAACCCAATTAAAGGCTGCCTTCAAATAGAAAACATCCTTGGACTATGAAATGACCTGTGGCAATCCAAGGTAGCACATGCACGAGGACAGTCAAAAAATCGAGTCAATTGGTCGAAATCAATTGAACTGAAGTCGGTCAGTAGGGTTGAGAGATGCGCTGGTCAGAGGTTAATTTTCTTATGCAAATCTGACTATTCAGTTTCTCTGAACCTACAAAAACTGACCAGCCGACCGATTTATATTAGAAAAGAATTTGCTTTCATGTAATTTGGGAGGGGGGCACCGAAGAGAGGGAGGGAGTAGATGTGAGAAGAGACTTTATAAATGCATAAAAAAAAGAGAGGGAAGGCCATTCACAAGAGTAGATGTGAGAAGACACTTTATAATAAACGCATAAAAAAAAGAGAGTGAAGGCCATCAGAATCATGTGAATGGCCTGATTTCCCTCTTTTTTCTATTTATTTAATCTCTTCTCTCTTATCTACTCCTTCCTCTCTCCGGTTTGCTCCCTCCCTCCCTCTTTTCCTTCATCTCACTCATTCCTCTTTTTCTTCTTATTTTTTTTTTCATTCTACTTCTCTCCCTTGTAATTTGTCTTCTTTCACCTCTCACTCTAATCTTTTCTTCCCATCTCTCTCCCCATTTTCCCTCTTCGTCTTTTCCTCCTCCCCCTCTTTTTTATTGTCTTCTCAACAACCGGTATCTGTCGACATGTTCAACCTCCGACATCAATCTAAACACGATTGAAACCAACCGGCCTTCACCCACAAACGATCAGTCAGTTAGTGTAGAGCTAAAAAAAGTGATTTCGACTGACTGAAATTGAATGGTAAGTGGTCAGTGTTAGGTTTGTGCTAAAATCGACATCGACTGACCAATGAACACCCTTAATCCAAGGCACTACTATAATCATATCATTAAAGCAAACAAGTGACCTTTCAGCTTCAACTTTAATGAAGAATGTTTATGCTCGAGGAGGGAATATGTAGACTTCTCATTAATGTCGCAATATACTAATCCTCGAAAACGACTCAATAAAAACCTCACTGCCAATGCTACATGTGGCTAAAAGGTGATTAAACTTCTTGGAAAAATTCATTCAAAGAATTTGTAGTCACACCTTAAGCTC